GTCGTCGTCGTCGTCGTCGTAGTAGCAGTAGCAGTAGCAGCAGCAGCAGCAGCAGCAGCAGAAGCAGCAGCAGCAGGAGTAGTAGTAGTAGTAGTAGTAGTAGTAGTAGTAGCGATAGTGGTAGGGCAGGTGGCGTTTAACCCTTCTGGCGACTATATTCCCCATGTAAACCCAAAGGTTACCCTTTAGAGCCCCCAGACCACCGGACAAGTAAGAAAAACGACAAGGCAACCCTAAACCCATAACCCTAAACCCTAAACCCATAACCCTAAACCCTAAACCCACAACCCTAAACCCTAAACCCATAACCCTAAACCCTAAACCCTAAACACTACACCCTAAACCCTAAACCCATAACCCTAAACCCATAACCCAAAACCCTAAACCCTAAACCCATAACCCTAAACCCTAAACCCTAAACACTACACCCTAAACCCATAACCCATAACCCTAAACCCATAACCCTAAACCCTAAACCCTAAACACTAAAATTATCATCATGGAACCTCCAGCCTCTAAGCAAAAGCAGTGAGCTTGGGCCTCGGAGTGTAGGAATCATATGGGTAGTTGTCAAAATTAGGGTCCCTTTTGGGGTACCCTAAATAATAGGTGCCGTATTATAATAAGGACCCAAAAAGAGACCATAATTTTGACAACCACCCATATGACGTCACCTGGTATGACGCAGCTGTCGCAGTATACAGGAAGGATCTTCAGTCATATGTACATAAATATTGTATATATATATATATAATAGTTGTATAAGTATGTATGTATATATATATATGTATATGTGTAGATATATATATATATATGTGTATGTATGAAGAGAAGCTTCCTGAGCTCCATGCCCCAGTTGATCATCTCTGAGCCCTCCCTATTCTGCACTCCCCAAGCCGTGCCTGCCCTACCTGTACCATACTAGGAGCTTCATGAGTAGTTATAAGTGGGGTTTATGGGGTTCCTGTAAGGGTTCCTTTAAAGGGTTCTATGGGGTTTAGGGTTTAGGGCTTGGAGCTTCATGACTAGTTTTACGTAGGGTTAGTCGTCTCCTAGTATACGGGGAATAAATATGGTTGCCTTACTTACAACCCGTTTATAGCTTCTAACCACCCATGAAATTTGAAGTACTCCCCAAGCCTTGAACCCTAAGCCCTATACCATACTCCCGCTCCGCAGGGCCCCTAGCCCTTTCTCTCCGCTCCCAAAAGCCTCCATGTCTGCCGCGGATTTGTTCAAGATGGGGAGGTGGGGTTTACGGGGTTTACTATAGTACAGTATGACATCTTTTCGTAGAGGATACTTTGGTACACTGTGTGTTGCAATAACATCGCGGAACAAGGAAATCCGACAGTTGTTTGCAATGTTTTCCCGAAGTCAACGTTTCGGACCCCTCAATAGGGCAGAGAGCGCTGTTTTTGGGCTTTAAGGGTTCTTGGAGGTTCATGGGTAGTTAGAAGTATGGTTATAAGTCCCCTAATATGGGTTACAACTATAGTTACCCTACTTATAACCACATTTATAACTACCCATGAACCTCCAAGTAAGGGTGGGTTGTCCAAGTCTTAGGGTGTATGGTTTTCCTTCCCTGCCCCTTGACTGCCCCCGCACGTCTTGGCGATGGCTTTTCTCTCTGCGCGCTATGCGGGGCTGGCCAAGCGATGGCCACATTTGGTCAGTGGAGTCACAAGCTCAGTCATTATGACTTCTGCGGACGTCTTCTGCCAGGGAGTCATCCAGCAGCCAGGACCGGAGGGGCACCTTGGTTACTTTTGGGTTCGCCTTGAAAGCCTTCCAATCTTGTTTTGGGCATAACAACCCCTTCACCTGAAACTCTAGACCATTCTGGTGGGAGAATATGGTCTCTCCAACACCACGACCCTCAACGTCATTCCTGGTCATCATCATCCAGACATTTTGTGACGTGTTCGAGCCGCTCAACCATTCCTAATGTAGGGGCCTGAAGAAGTACAGGTACCAACCCTTACGGCTCCTCATTGCAACTAATACGCAACACAGAGCCCAAAAGACTTGAAAAGAAGTCCGCAACTCAGAAAATGAGATACATCCCTCGAGAAGCATTTAATGCGTGGGGGTTTCAAGGGGTTTAGGGGTTGAGGGATTCAGAGCTTACGGGTTTGGGGTAGGGTTTAGGGGTTTAGGCTTTAGCTTAAAACCCTTATTGAGCACTGTAAGGCTCGACTACCGCCGGACGGCCGGTCTGGCATTCTTTGGGATGTTCTGGTATGGGGGACCCTGTAAGTGGCTCTACCTGGCCATGGATGCTTGGGTACGCAAGGTAGTCCTTGGGGGGGGGGGGGGGGGGGAGGCGTAGAAAAATTCTTAATCATTGGTAACACAAAAATCCCCAAGAAACCGCTAAAGTTGTAATGTGTGCTAGGGTCCTAATTTCAGTATCTCCGTACATGTTGGACCTTCATTCCGAGCCCTAAGTGGGTAAGATAAATGGGGGCCTTAGTATTTACCTATACTATTTTGGGGTTCCTTATTATAATGATAGTATAATCTTCCCCAAAAACCTTATTCCAATCTACATTATTTGAAGTCCGAGACTGTATCTAGGTTCCTCAGTAGTACCCGTTTGCCCTTTGTCTGTTGGGGTCTTCTTAGTAAAGCCGAATATTAGGAAAAAGGGTACCCTTTTCAATAAGGAGTTACTGGGGAATCTAGGTATAGGGTCTAAATCCTCAGCAACTTACTGAGTCCGTGGTCTTGTCAAGGAGAAGCGCTCCCACGCTAAGACATGCAGAGGATGCTAAACGATTAGACTGTTTAGCGGTGTCCCCGTACAGCCCCTCTTCCCTACATATACCGATGCTAGAATGAACCCCCCAAACCCCGATCGAAATATGTTGACACATATGTGCATATAGATATATGTACCTATAGTTTAATATAGTAGAATATACTTTGATATAGGAAAATGTAATACACTAGGTTATGTTTGAATGTAATATGGAAAATATAATATATAACAATATGTTGTAATATAAAACATAATATAATACAATGATATACAATACAACAGAATAGAACACAGCATCATATCATGCCGTATATGTATTTAGATACATATATATATATATAATATTGCAGCAGAATGTAGCATATCATAATGTAGTATGATATCTTACAATATATTATTGTTATATACACATATAAACGAAGAAATCATTCTAGAAAAATGCTTGTTTACATGTCCATATATTTATATTCTCTATATATATATATATATATGTGTGCACACACATATATATAGAGAGAGGTACATAGATACATAGATAGATAGACATAGTTGTATGTTGTATATACATATCTGTAGTCCTGTGTTTATGTATACACACATACATTATTTTTAATTGTATGTGTATATATGCACATTTTAAGCGCCCGGAGGCACAAAGAGACAGGCCACGATCCGAAGTTCCCAAGTCCGAACCCAAGAGTCCCGTGCTAAGGAACTTAGGGTTTAGGGTTTAGGGGTTTAGGGTTTAGGGTTTAGGGTTTAGGAACTTAACTGCGAGAGTTTGGCAAGTGTTGCTGCAAGGGTACTTGGAGGTTCAGGGGTAGTTATAAGTAGGGTTATATTTCATAAGGGGTTCCGTTCAGGGTTCCGTTAAAGGGTTCTATGGGGTTTGGGGTTTAGGGTTTAGGGTTTGGTGGTTGGGTAGTTATGAGTAGGGTTATAAGTCCCCTATTATGGGTTATAACTATAGTTACCCTACTTATCACCCTACTTATAACTACCCATGAACCTCCAAGTAGTTCAAAGGAGTGCCACCAGGGGTCTAAGGTCAGTCAGGACAGGCTAGCATTCACTACGGATCCCGGCTATGGTAGCTTCGAGGACGGCCCGTAACGGCTTCAGCAACCTTACTGGCAAGGGTCAGGGTATAGGCGTTAGCGCTGGGGTTCGGGGCATAAGGCTCAGACCGTATGCCCTGACCTGCAAGAAATGGGGGTTTCCGAAAATAGGGGACCCCAATATAGCACCCCAAATAATAGGATCCTTATTTTAAGGACCCCCAAATAAGGTACCCCCTATTTTCGGAAACCCCCAAATCCAGGTTCGATACGTACTTATAAGTACTATAACCCCAATTAGGATCCCTTTTAGGGTACTTATAAGTCTACTTATTACATACTTACTAAGTCTCTCGACCCTCCAAGTGACCTGCAAGAAATCCAGGATCGATACGTCGGCCAAAAGTCGACGTTTCGCAACGTGGTAGTCAAGACTTTGTTTGACGTTTACATCCACACGCCCTTCGGCGTCGTCCCCGGCTTTTACCTCGTGACTGGTACGTTCAAGGCACACTCCGACGCTTGGGGTTTGGGTTGCGGGCTTTAGGGTTCATGGTTCAGGATGTAGTAGGTATATACATATAGATATATGTACCTATGGTTTAATATGGTAAAGTATATCTTAATATAGGGCTCATGGTGCTCTAAAATCGCAGTTCCTTTACGTGTTATACAAGACCGGCGCACCCTTCTCCGAGACTCCCAACCACTCAGGCCCTAAGCCTCACGAACCTAAACCGGCAAACCCTCACACCGGACCCGCCCCCACCAAAAACAAGGTGCGCAGCAAATATACATGGGTAGTTCTCTAAGCTAGGTTCCCTTTCTAGGTACCCAATATAGTACGGCACCCTTATAAGAAGGACCCTAAAAGGGACCCTAACTTAGAAAACTGCCCACATATACTGACAGTAGAAGTATGATTGCTGAGATGGCACAGAAGAAGAATAGCCATGCATGTTTACGTATACATGCACATGAAAAGTATGTCGAAGCGGTCCTAATTACGACCCTATACCTTAAACCGTAAACCACGAACCCTAAACCCTATACCCTAAACCACGAACCCTAAATTCTAAATCACCAAACCTTCGAAGGGCGACAGCCTCACGCGGATCCACGCGCAGCTCAAGCGCGAATCTGGGTTCTTGTTAAGCTTTATTTTAGCTACCATAACAGGGATGTATAGTAAAAAATACAGGTTCCTTTTTATGGTAACTCAAAGTATTTAAGGGATCCAGGTTTAAGCTACCATAATAGGGATGTATAGTAAACAATATGGGTTCCTTTTTATAGTAATCCAGATTAAATCTGGGTTCTTGTTAAGTTTTTATTAGGCTACCAGTATGGGGATCTATAGTACATAATAAGGGTTCCTTTTTATAGTAACTTAAATTGAGCCCCTTGACAAGAGCACAGGAATGGGTGGAAGCATCGCTGGGCTCCTCCTTGCCTCTCGCGAGAGCATTTGATGTTCGGACACGAGTGAAGAGCATTGTTACATGCAGGGGCCTGAATAATTGAATAGGGTGTTGGGGGTTCCTTATTATATTTATAGTATAAGGGGACCAATGTTTTTGTGGTTCCGACTTGATCCATCAGGGGCTGATGTAAATGTGGTATCTTTTGGGGGGTGGGTCGCAACAAAACAGATTGCTTGTGCGGAAAACAGCTTTTTCGAATGAATAGCGTTGAGCATGGGTTATAGAAGCAGGAGGAGCAAGAATTGTCGGATGTCTTTTGGAATTTTTCTGGAACCCAGCCAGTCTAGATGCTACAAGTAAGGTTTGGGTTTAGGGTTTAGGGTTTAGGGTTTAGGGTTTAGGGTAGTAGGAATAATCACGACAACCAGAGTCGCTTGCGGCCCCTTAAACCAGTTCGAAAAGCTTTATGAAGCTTGCGATGCGTCTCGTTACGGTGTCTTGACTCTTTCGGTCTCAGGAGTTGGGTGGGGGTGGGAAAAGAAGATGAGCGCACCTCAGAATAACGAGTTCATTGACATTAGATATCTCTTGTTTAGGTAAGAAGAAAAAAGCAAACTACAGCAATGCACGTACGGCCACTCTTACGGTATGCTCTGCGCATATACCTTTCCGTGCACTTGTGTCTGTGTGTATACACAAAGATGGCAGCATACTCAGCTGTGGCAGCCACAGCCGGTCGGCTTTGGTGGAACTAGTCTTGGAAGCCCTCAAGCACCAAAAACCAAGTAAACCTTCCAACAGCTCTGTGACACCTTCATCGAGCCCTACAACTACCCTTTCAAGAAGCGCCAAAAAGCCGTGAACTTAGGTTTTGGACGCCTGCGCAAGTCGTCAATTTCTGGCTCGTTCCGCAGCCCTTCAAGATCGCCTACGTTTCGGCTCCTGGGATTCTCTTAGTAGTAGAGTAGGTAATGTTTAGGGTTTAGGGTTTAGGGTGGGAATTGTGATCCCTATATAACCCGAAAGGTTAACCTTTAATTCCCCAGGATACTGGACAAGTAGTGGCAGCTTTAAGCAGGATTCGTCACTAAGACCAAAGCAATATGCCAGGTTCTCTCCTTTGCCCACAAGACCTGGATGTCCTGGGTGTCCAACAGGGACCGTTATGCCCTCCGTTCCGGGAGCGCACCTCTTCTTCCAGGTCCATTTGCAGTGGCCTAGAATTAGCACCCTGCTCTCAGACGCTCTCAGAAAGATCCCAGAACCTCGTGGAGAGCCATCCGTACAGTGCCAGGGACAAGTATTCATATCCTAGCTTTGTCGACCCCTGAACCTCCAAGCATTGCCCAGTATGTACCCGGAGAGCCCAAATGCCCCAGAATTCAAGACTTTGTGTCACATCATACTCAGAATTCCTCTATTCCGCAAGTGCATGATTCTAGTCAAGGATATTAAGCCGTCTGGACAGACGCGGATCGATCCAAGAGAGTGAAGGATGGTCTTCCGACTGCGAGAGTCAAGGGTAGAAGGACCCTGGGGTTTCAATGAGTTGGAGGGGTTGACAGTTCTAACAGGAATCCCGTACAGAGGCTAGGAGGATATTGTTACAACTCCCGTCTAGTAAGAAGGATGGGATTCGATGGGATGAGAGATCCTAAGATGAACACCCTTGGAAAGGACTGGGAATATTCGCCTGAATGTACATTCTGCCTCAAATCGGAGCTCCCTAAACCAAGCGCGCTCCTCGCAGAACAACTTCACGCAAAAAAAATAAAAGACGATGGCGAACAACGCAAACCCGGCTTGTCGCCACGACAATAGTAATGGTAGGAGCAGCAGTAGCCGTAGCAACATCAGCAGTCGTAGTGGCAGCAGCAGCAGTAGTAAGAGTCATACCATGGTAGGTGTGGACTCATACCAGTGCAAGAGTCAAGGACAGTCAGAAACTAAATGTATTGAAGCATACGCAACTGCATTTTATCTGGACCCGGTTATAGTTGCTAGGACGTCACACCAGATGAGCATATGCTCTAGATAAGACGAAATGGGGCTTCCAATCCCATCCTGATCTGACAGAGACGCAAAGGGGACCCCAACTTTTCCAAGAAGCCCTCACATGGCCCGTTTGTGGGTGCCAACTAGTTCCTTTTTCTGCTTTCAATCTTGGGACTTCCATATAAACGAGATGATAGGAAACAGAGTGCCCTGAGTTTTATCAACCAAAAATCACTGCATAATAAAGGGGCATCTATAATTAGAAGCGGGTTTTGGGGCCCATTACACTATAAATATAGTAAGGGAACCCCCAAAACCCTATTCTACTTATTAAGGCCCCGACATTGCTTGGGAAACCAGCGTCTGAACCCTAAACCCTAAACCCCAGCGTCCGACCTTGTTTGCTGCATGCTGCAGCCCGGAACCAGAGCTGGCCAAAGGCATCCTGACCCATTTTTGCGGCTGCCCGCCCCTGTGCAGAGAGTGACCTAAGAGCTAAGGCAGCTAGGGGAACACTTCCCCAAAAAGCCCTACATGAATGAATATTTTCAGATGTACACATCTATGTGTGTATATGTGTATATATATACACACACATACTACAATATAGAATATGTACATAGGTGTCCAGCAAGTAATAAGACAAGGTTCGGAAGACTTGTCGAGCCGATTGAACCCCCCGAAAATGACAGCAGTCGAACTCCCGAAGCTTCCTTATCAGGGGTGGGCATAGGTACCCTAAACCCTGAACCCCAAAGCCTAAGCCCTAAACCCTAAGGGGTGGGGATAGGTGGATTTTGACAACCACCTCAAGGTCCATGCTCTAAGAGAACATCCAGGAAATGAAAGGGTTGATGCCAATAGCTGGCGTCTAAAAGATGGGCCTTAATAATTACCTAGACTATTTCGGGGGCTCCCTATTAACAATATAATAAAATCGGCCCCAAAACCCTTATTCTAATTACTAAGGCCCCTACATGAGGTGCTTGTCACTCTCGTTCCCCAGAGACCGACAGCCCCAACCGTCGCCTGCTGCAAATGAGCTTAGGGTTTAGGTTTAGTAGGGTCTTGAGGTTCAGGATTAATGAACCAGCCTCGCCAAGAAGTAAAACTGGGTTCTTGTTAAGGGATTTAAAATAAGTTACCATAATAAGGAAACCATATTATTTACTGTAGATCCCTATCATGGTAATTAACTTAAATTAAATCCCTTAACAAGAACCTAAACCCTAAACCCTAAACCCTAAACCCTAAAGAACCCAGAATAACACTTCCTCTACACTGAACTCTCCAGGCTCCGCCTTGACTCCTAAGCTTGTACCACTGTTGGGGTTCTGAGGTCCAGCATTTCGGCGACAGTTACTATGTTAAGTTAGGGTTTAGGGTTTAGGGTGGTTTAGGGTCCACGGTATGTTAAGTCATATCAACACTAAATAAAGCTTTTCGTGGTTTCTTTTACTGAACACAGTCAGTTAACAAGGCCCGAGCTCACAAGATTGGTTACTCTCAGCTCATCTTCCAACGGGCAAGTTCTGAGAACCGAGACCAAAGAGATCAGTGCGAGGATCGGAGAAGGAAAAGCCTTCCGAGGGTTTACCTGGTACCCCAGAGGCACTTTGTCTGTGTGTAGTTCTCTCAATGAGGGCCCCTTTTTGGATCCAAACATAGTACGGCACCCTGATGTATAGAACTACCCATGTGGCTTCTCCTTATAAAAACAACCCTAAACCCTAAACCTCTAAAGCCTAAACCCCTAAACCCTGAACCCCTAAACCCTGAACCCTAAAGTCCGCAGAAGGGTTGCCTTATGGTTCTGGGCGTGCCGGGCAGGGCCTTGCAGAGTTCTGCGTGAAGGGCTTGTCCGGTCGGGGAGTACGTGCCATTGTTTTAGGGTTTAATATAGGGGCCTAAATGATTATTACCTATACTATTTGGGGGGT